CCCGCTGCCCCCGTTCGTGGATTTTTGCGCGCCCCCCCCCCCCCCCCAACTCTGCTTGTCCCGCTGAGGCTAAGGGGCGGTGTGCTCCTGCCCTCCCTCAGCGAGCCATGCCGATGGTGTGCTGTGGGTGAGTGCCCCAGGCTTCTGCCGGAGCTCTGGGCCGCAGCTGATGCCTCCTCCCCTTTTCCACATCATAACGGCATAAATTTACCATTAACACAGCCCCTTTGGGCACGTAGTTTTCTTTCCAAGAAATGAATAATGTTAATAACGCATAACACATTTTCTTTTCAGCCTACAATATAAACTGCATCTGGATCTGGCTGTTCCGCAAGTAAAATCCCCCCTGTAGATCCCATGGCCTATCTTGATGGCCGGAATTGCAGAAGTGCGTGCTGGGAAGACGTCTGAAAGGAGAAAAAGGTGTTCTTTAGCGTATAATACCAGAAAAAGTATTGCATTCTGGATGTCAGTGGTGTCAGACACACCTTTGAATTTCTCTAGCCTAAGTATGAGGCAAGAAGTACCTTTACATAACTGGAATATATGAATATACATTGTTTTGTCTCTCCTACTATCTGGCCTCTTCAGTTGTTTTACCCAGTGAAGCCCCAGTCTTCTGCTGGGACTTTTTGACACTGGCAACGTATAAATAATAATAACCATGATATTTGGGAAACTTTATCTTTTCTTTTTCCCCCTTCCAAGTCCTTCATCTGCATGGCTCAAGGAAGGATAGCCTTTTTGTACCGAAGTGACACCGAAGCCTTCCACTACCCTTGCCAGAAATTTGTCCCGAAGTGTTTACATAATGATGACAACGGATTATTGCAGCCCATGTCAACTGACGCATTTCATGTCTCTGAATCGATGCAAACATCGTGTTCGTTGCATCAACAGAACTGCTCACATGTCCTTGATACATTTTCAAGAAATTTTTATTTGGATGTAAAATGTCTGTCAGCCAACATTTCAGCGGTATCTATCCGTCTTCCTTGGGGCTTAAGATATTGCTGAAGCGTTGGCTGATAGTCACTTTACTACCAAATAAAAACTGCTTGAAAATATATCAAGGACATAGGAGCTGCTCTCTTGAGGTATGTGACGTGATGTTTATGCCCATTTTTATAGATGTTAAACCAGTTTCTATGAGGGGGCACTATTAAGAATTCAACATCCTGGTAACTATGTTTTGAAGGGAATAAATGGACTGTGCATCTATCTGTCTTGATACTCTGTGAGCACCAACAGACTGAGGGTATTGAATTTTTTTTTTTTTCTCCCCAGGAAATGTTTTTGGGGGACAAATTGTATTTATTCAGTTAGTGACATAACTGTTGTGGAAATGCCCATCTCCAAATCAGAAGCAGCCCTTCTAATATATTTGTCCTCTGTTGGGAGTGTCCTGAGAAAATACTTTTGTCTTGCTGAACAGAAAGATTTATACTTAGGAATTAAGGTTTTAACAACAGCTATTTTCTACCAGGGGTTTTTATGATTGTTTTGCATGACTTGAAATTACAGAACACTGTAACATATGCATAGATTTCAGGAGGGGGGAAAAAGAACAAATGGGCAGAATTACATCTCAAAATTGCTTTGGGTCATTTTGATATGTCTGTAAGGTTCTCTCACTGTAGAAAGAGCAGGACTGAGGTACCCCAGAATTTATGGCTCCCCTATAATAGGTGGAAATGAAAGACTGTTTGCTGCAGGCCAGAGCTATCTATATGTCAGAAGCTTTTCACTGTGTACTGTCAAACCTGTTTGAGAACTCTTTCAAGGACATTGCTAGATGAAAAAAGTATTAGAAATTAATGTTAGAAAAGGCTACAACAAATTTGCAGTCCAAAAATCATTCATTATCGACTGGCAAATAAACTCATGTCTAGTTCACAACTCTCACAAGCAATTTGCAACTAGAAAAAGAAGTTGATCTGTGTGTAACTTCAAACAATTTATAAGTTCATGTAAATAATATGCTTATTTTGAGAGTAGTGTCGATCAATGCGGTCCACAGAGTTGACTGCTATATGTGGCATAGAAAAACCCAACCTAGTTTAAACTAACTCGTACAGGCAGCAGCAGTAATCAAAACATCAAAGCAGAGCTCAGCATAGAGTAATTTGTTACTACTCGGTAGTGTTAATCAGTCTACAGGAGTTCTGTGCAGCCAAGCCAGGCGCTTTTGATATGTGTGTTACGTCAAATACCTGCATCCTACTCCAGTCAGAGTAAAACTCTTCAAAGATACAGATGATGAAGTGACATGCCCAAGGTCGTTCAGTGCCAAAGCTGCAGGACATTGGTCTTCTGTATCAGTTCTCCTCAGTGGTTACTAGAGAGTACATTTCTACCAAAAAAAAAGATAATGCAAGAGCGCAATGACAAATGCAAATGCAGCGATCAATACAAACCTATTAACTGCTTCTGATTCTTGTTGGATCTGAACCCGTTTCTGACTTGTGTAAGCAGAAAATCCATCTCAAACTGGTAAACTTAAGGTATTTCATTGTGTATCTGAAAAACAAGCAGTATCTTACTATGTTAAAGACATTCACTTCTTGTGGTGCTGTGTGCTTTTCCACATACCCTGCACATTTTTATGGCCGGGTTATAAATGCTTGATCCTTTGTTAAAAAGCAGTGCTGTTTTTCCAATCTTGTTTGTCCTTGACTGGACATATTCCTTTGTGGTAGAAATATTTCTTGTACCACTTAATACTCAAATTGTTCGCTATCAAGTATAGCCAAAGAGTAGTGAAGGACAGCATTGCCAGACATTCAGAAACAAATAAATCCTAATGAGCCCAGGAACGAGTTACTATTAAATTTCAGACTCTTGTCTCAAGACTTAAAAAATGCCATGAAAACACTTGATAGGTGAGGTGACATATAAAGGCTCATTGCACACCTGCTGTGAGTTTTTATTCTGCGGAGGATCATCTTGCTCGGTCACTGCCACGGTGAGCATGTTGTACCATATGACTTTACCTGGTTATCCCTTGATGGTCATCTATTCCTTAGAAATGTTCAGCATGGAAAGACTTTGATAGTACCTAGGTTCCTCCTTATCAGTAATGACCATTATAGCGAAGTCTGCAAGTTCTCAAAAACCTGGAAATTAACTCTTTCCTGTTGGATGCAACAGTCCGCAGTGCCTTCTGCCATAAGATGAGATTTCATGAGTAAATAACGTACTTTCAGTACATTCCTGGTGTGCCAAATCCTGCTTCTCTTGGTGCTATTGGCACAAGTTTCAGTACCTGTTATAACTGCAGGGCAAATTAAGCTATACCATCAAATTCCTCTAAATGAGCTTTTCAAACAGATTTGAGGGCCTGGTTGTATAAAGGGCAGAAGACCTTCCCTTTCAATCCCAATTCAGCTCCTGCAGAGGCTGAAGGTTCATGGCTCACCTCAGAATCAATGCTTCAATCATTGCTTCGCTTCTCACAGTCTGTGTTTATTCTCACTAGTTCAAGACAAGAGCATGCTTGAATTTTTGCCACATGCTCAGTAGCACCTTGTCAGCAGCCCTTACCAGTTGCTATCACACGGAGACTCATATCTGCATGGTTTGGTTTCCTGAGTAATCAAGGTTAACAACCTGATCAATGAATAATGATGAATTAGTCTTCTTTTTCTGAGGGAAAAAAAAAAGTGAGTTCAACTCATCATATTCATTGCAGGAGCGAGGCTGGATTTCTAGTTGGTGTCTGAGATGGCTCCATGGGATGTGCGCTATCTGCAGACCACCACTGCTTCCTCGAGACCATTTCTAGAGTGCCTGGGATACTTTATTAGTCTTTATTTCTCTGTTGGCTACTCTGCACTGTATATTGGATTATGTTACGTATATCACCCCAGAGATCCCTGCACTTTCCACAGAGGGCAGCCTGGATTCCCTGCCTTGAAGCACTAGCCGCGGGAAGCTGCTGCAAAGCTTATTTACTTAACGCGTATCATGCAGTTCAGGACCCTCAGATTTACCTATGGACTTCAAAGCATAATATATTAATATTATGTCATATTAATATGTGATTATTTATGTTGATATACTTTTATCTGACTGGTGTGGTTCACATCAGTAGCAAGTGAGCTGCAGAATTTGTAGCCAGCCTGACTGTCATCTCCAAGACCTGATTTGATTCATGGCCTCATTTCCTGTTTTCCCTCCCACTGCTCACAGCCCTTTTTTTTTTTTCCTTCTCCATGGTCCTTTTATTAAACGTAGAGTTAGAAACACAATTAGAATTTACTCAAGTCTATAATGTCTGAATACTAAATCTTTGGAACAATAAAAATTCTTTCCCAAACCTGTCTTATCTGGGTTGTCTGTTCAGCTGATGAACTCAGCCTTCTTTACCGATTGAATGACTAAAAAAGAAGCACCTGATTTGATCAATTCCAAGCAATGACCGCGTGAATAATTCTGAAATTCCCAAGCACTGCAAAAAGGCCTGCAAGCACAAAGGCACAGCAAAAATATTTTCTTGGCGTTCTGTATACGCTGATGTATGAAGCTGAAAACCAGGAGTGTCGTGGTGCTAAGCACTGATACACCGAAAGAAAAAGGTAAAGTCCCAAACCAAGGAGGGGAGGCAGTCTGCTGCGGACCGTGGAAAGGGTTCGTCTTGAATCCGTGCCAGGAAAAGTGGTTCCAGTAGGGGTTCTACCTTGAAAACATTTATACACATAAAGACAATTGTTGAATATTGACAAGAATTCAGGCTTGGTTTTCAAAGGTGCCAGACGTGTGCCACACGCATCCCTTGGCCTGTGCCACCTTAGGAGTTTCTGAGCTGGAGTCTACCTAAGAGCAAGAGCAGGAGCCAACAGAGAGATCAGCTAAGAATATTTCCCTTCCTTCCCTCACTCTGTAGCACATCGCAGGTGTATCGCTAAAGGGAACCCAACACTGGCAAAAAAAAAAAAAAATCAAATTATCATTTGTAGAACTGATTATTCGAACATTTGTTACAGGGGAACATCTGCAATCCAGACACAGCTGGGTGTGTCGCAGAGGCAGCTGAACTCGCACTTCGACAGTACGGTTGTTAGGCTATGGTTTGCTTTCAGGCTGCTCTCTGCATTCATTCTTTCCACCTTGGCTGATCAGATGAGTCACGTGAAAGGGTTTCTATGCCTAGGTTGTATTCTCAGTTTTATAGGCCATGTAAATATCTTTTCCAATTGGAGACCACCTGAGAACATTTCGAAGTGCCTGGTATATCATGTACGAATGAGTTCTTGAAGTTATTTCAACAGAGGCACACAGTACAAAGCCTGTGGTCTCTCTCCTAAGTGCTTCATCCAGTTTATGACAACAACCTACTACCGCTTTTAGTTAACAGAATTAAACTTCTAGCCAAGCGTGAGGTGTCTCTGGTACAGAATACAGAAGAATGCTGGTGTTCCGACTTCACAGGAGATCAGTGTACGAGAGCATTACAAAAATGGCACTATAACTGGCTGGAGGCTCTGTGTTTTGAATGTTTCTGTTACACAGAAAGCAGGTCATGGCCCGAGCGCAGCTCACATCTCCCTCTAGAGGATGGTCCTCTAGTCTTAAACTCATATTAAGCTTCATTCAGACACCCAAAACCTGAACTACCTTTAGAGATGACTCGTCATCAATTACAGAGGCAACCCAGGGCAACTGCATTGCTAAAGAAGACATCTCAGTTATGTGCCTAAAATTAAGTGGTCTAACAGCCATCCACTGCTAACGTAGTTAGTCAAGCAGGTGTCTATGCTGAAGAAATCAGGCTCAGTCCCTCCTGACAGCTCAGGTGCTTGCAGCAATGCTCTCAGCAAGCCTGCATGCACGATCCTTTCTATGAAGACAACTATGAGGAAAAACCTAGTCACCTGGCAGCGGTAATGACAGGCTCAGGATGCTGTTACACTGAAATTCATGTTATGGGCAATAGTAGAACACACCTCATGAGTAGAGCTAAGAATTTATTGTTAGCCCAGATAACATTGCAGTAGTCTAGTAGTCCAAACTAATTAATATTTTAAAAATCTCATCAGTAATGCAATTTAATTTTTTATACAAAAACCTCTTCCTAGACTCTACCCCTTATCTCTGGTGTGATGCTCACCCTGCCAATGTCCCTCTGCATCTCAGGATCAGTCTCCCTCAAGCACAGTCGGGGAGAAGGTTACAAGTCACCACCATCCAGAGGTCTCCCCTGGCAGGAGTGTGATGTCCA